CACATACACAAGCAAGCACTCTGTAAGTGCAATATATAGCAAATTTTCCATTATCCAGAGCCACAGAGAACCTGAGTTGCCCTAGATAGCAGAAGAATCTGAATAGTGTGATTATTGTGAGAAGGGCTGAAAAGAATAATGCAGAAATGTCAAATACCAGAAACTGAATTCCGGCCATGCATTCACAGAAGTTTTCATCCAAGCTAGTAAATGGAAAACCAACAACAACAACAACAACAAAAACCCCACAGAAAAAAAGCCCCAGAACTAAACCACAAAAAAGAAACCAGTTGCAGCCAAACTTGGCTAATTTAGCCAGGAGTATCCAAATGCATCCTCCCAGTTTGCACAAGTAGCTAGTTTTGCATGATAACAACTGGCTTAGCATGCTGGAAGCCCTGTAAACCAAGTCATATGTAACTGGAAAAATGCATTCACACAAAAACAGAGCTTGGGGCGCAGTGCATCAAAACCTCACTCACTGGTTACTGTCAAGCCCAGCGTCCTTACTTAAAGTCGACCCATAAAAAAACCCTGTCCCTGAAGAGCTCATAAATTAAAAGGAGAATGAGATCATAGTTAATTCCTTAGTTAATGAGCAAACTAAATCCTAGCACCAGTGACACCTCTCCCATTCTTCCTGCAAAACCTAGACTGCATGTCAGTTTGCTCTCCATCCCAAAGAGAAAATGGGATTTAATTTCTGAGAAAGCAGAGATAACACCTAAGCCACAGGTGAAGTCTTTACAATTCCTTTCACTCTCTTCCAATGGGGGAAGAAAATTGTTTTGGCAGTCTTCTAAGAGCGTTTTACTTTTCTTAGCTATTATTTCTTTTTTGAAAGTCAAAAATCTCCTGAGGAATCTACAATTCTGGCTGAAAATTTACTTGAGATTTAATTACTGAAGTAGTGAAAAATTTTACTTGAGGTTTCTGAGTCAAATGCTCAGGAAAGTTTCTTAGGTGTGAGTATATACTCACAATTTTCAAAGGAGGAAAGAATTAATTTGTTTTTATTTCCTTCAGTGTTGTTGTATTGTATATCTCCAAATCCAAGCAGCTATCAGGAAATCCCCCTTTGTTTATAGTTAGGGACTAATTTTCTTATTCATAATTTTATTCCAAATGAAGGGAAGAAATAGTCTACAGAGTTTTCTGTGAATATTTTTCAAACCTGAGTGTACCTAACCTATAGTTAGGCATTTACCTAGCTTGCAAAGTTCACATACCTGGAGAAATAAAGAGGTTAGTTCCTACTCCAAACATAAGTTTATTAAAACTCAAACCTTGCTTAGACATGTTGCAAGCGTGAAACTACTCACAGTGGGAAAATAAGTTGCATGCACCTACAGAAGTTGCCAGTTTTTATGTCTTCTCTCACAGGAAAGGTCCACAGCTTGTGTAATTTACATCATTGCTCCGCAGACCATCTGTTCTACACTATCCAGCAGACAGTGTAGTAACCAAGAGATCACTGTTATGACTTTTTGTCAACAGCCTGCTTCTGAACTGCATTTCACTACTCTCAGCAAACATCTACTTTATTTTAGGTGGATTGAATTTTTCCACTGAACAACTCAATGTCCCAAATCTCAGAAATCTTACTTGGTTTTACCACGAGCCTGGTTCCATGTCCAAATGTAAGTTGGTAGGTGTTCATAGACACTGTGTTGTTTGCCATAGCAAAAACCTTTGTACACTCCTATCCACCCCAATCCACCTGAATAACATTCCTCAAGGAAATCCTTCAGTTTCTCCGCACACACACTTGCAATGCGTTATGTCTTACTTCCATGTCTATTGCTTATTGTTCTTCCTCCCCGCACCATAGTCTCATTAACACCACAAGGAAGAGCCATGAAGCAATTCCCTTTCCACCTCCATCCTTGACAAATCCAAACCGGCACCACTCACTAAAGACCATTAGATTTTTTTCACATCTCTCTTCTTGTATTTCAGTTACTTGTTTTCACTTTTCACTTGCTTCCTTTCCCCATGGTGGACCCTTTTCTGGTGCACGTTGGTTAAATAGAAAGTCTACACTGTTATTTTTGAAGCTCGAGTACAGTGCCATCTATATTGATTCCACCTTGACTCAGAGAAGAGGCAGCTCACCTGGGGCAATGAGAAGTTTCGTTCCGCTCCCCCATGTGAGTTTTCCCCATCCTCCAGTACTAGCACTGTATGACAGGTCTTTACAAAATCGGCCTCTTCATTCAGCCACCTCAGTGGGTGTTGGAGGGCTTGGATACATTCAGTCATGGATCTGCCTCTGAGAGAAGCTATAAATACCCATACAGATTTTCAAAGACCTCCTCTAGCCTCTCTCTGACAAATACCTTTTTCCGTGTTCAAATTCATGGGAATAACTAGATTTGATCACAGTCGCCTCAGGTATCAGAGATAGGAAGAACCTACTCTTTAGTTAGCAGGGAACACTTTAAGTAGCTTGTGTTGTTATATCCAAAATAGGGTGCCTACAATTAGTCATTGCAGGTGGTTTCCCAGACTAAGGCTCTTCCCACTAATCCTCCTTTCCTTCCTTATTGTCTGATACTTGGCTGCTGAAGAGCATTCAGTGTTTTCATTACAGCATTTGTAATAGCCCTTGCTATTAACAAGGGCTGTGGCAAACTGAATCCCAAGTAGAAAGCCAAGAAAATAAGTTTCTACTGGGTCACGGAATACCTGAGTAGTATTCAGATGCATTTTCGAAACATCCCTTTGTAAGGAAGTTTCTTTCAGTAAATAATGGAATAATCCCAGTTCCTCAGGCCCCGCCTTCATAATTTTCCCATGCAATGGCCTGAATACTTAATGGGGCTTTACTGACCATTTTGTTCCTTTGCCAAAGATGAACTTATTTAGTGACCCATAATTCACATTATGATGCAGAGCTTATTAAAAAAAAAAAAAAAAAGTCTTGCTTTCCCAGCCAAAACATTCTTTTCCCTCTCATTCTCCAAGACAAAGATGATTTTGTCCCCAGTTTTCCTAAGTAAATGCAAATGGCTACTAACACTGGTATTTTGAAGAAAAATGTGGATCCACTAATCTCATCAAACCAGGTCAATTTTCACAAGCACCAGCTGAGTGAACTCTTCTTTTACACAGAATTTTCATGATTAAGTACTCTATTACTCTTCATTGTTTGGTTGTCATTTTGCCTGGGGTGCAGCATTCACCACCAGATCAAGAGCTCAGACAGTGTTTAGCCAGTTCTAGCACAAACAGGTACTGACTTATAGTATGAGTCCAACTATCAAGATAAGTGGAGAAGACAACTGTATTTCTGTCTTCTTTCAATGACACATTCACTATCACAACAGCAAATCTTCCCAATTGATCAACTTCTATGGACAATTCTCATTCCAGAAGGTAATCAAAACATGCATGCACACTCTGCTTAGTGTCTCACTTCATTTAAAGAACAGCCTTGCCTCCCCTCAAGTGTGAATCTGGAGCCAGCGATCACTGTTTCTCAGCTCAGAAAAAAAATGTGTTCATACACATTGTTTTTCACAAATTCCAACCTTGCTTGCCCCCCATTTAAGGTTTCAGGTATGCATCAGACAGCTCAGAAAAAAGACTGCACAGAATTTTCTTTTTTCCCCCTCACCCTAGATATGATTGATAATGTGGGCATTTTTTAAAGGCTTTTGCAGCAAAACCAGGAGAATTTACCTTCACCACCAGAGTCACAGTATCGCTTAGTTCAGAAGAGATATCCCTGGACGTGTTCAAAATCCAACTGGACAAAGTCCTGAGCAACTTGTTTCAGTTGACACTGCTTTGAGCAAGGAGTTTGGAGTAGATGATCTCCAAACGTCCCTTCCAACCTCCATGATTTTCTGATCCGATGAATGCTAAACTTGAAAAAATCTCAAGTTGCTGGCTAAGAGCATCTATAGGGGTGGTTATGGAGATTCAGTACTGTACTTGTTGAACTATGCAAATGGGCCCTCAGTTATGAAGCTGCTTAAGATGCTCATTAGAAGAAAAACAAGTCTATTGACTTTAAAGTTAGGCCTGGCGCAACAGGTCATGCAAAGACATTTGAAGACATGATCCCAAAGAATTGTTGTGCTGGAATGGAAAAAAGAGATGAAACAACAACATGAACACAGTCTAAGGTCAGAGTACCTGATGAAGTCCACCTTCCTATCGATCCAGATTTCCAGCCTAGCCCAAGTTAACTGAAAGTCTCAAGGTAAGGAACAGAACTGAACCCCGTTTACGTATCCCCCACAGCCTTCCACAGCCATACACAGGTACTAGGCACTAGTTGGTCAATCTGTCCGTCTGTCCTAAACCACGCCTCTATTCCTGCTCGCTGCCAGATTATCAGCATCCTGGAGCACCGTGTCCATAGCACGTTTCTCTAAATAGCAGAAGTCCAACACCTGGAAATGCTTCTAAGCACGAGAGCACCTTGAAAGAGCGCCTATTTTCTCCTTCTCCTCTGAAAGGTGACACGGACTCAACAACTTCATCTACAGGGTGCTCCGGTGGACACTCAAGGACTTTTGACAGACGACACACAGGAAAGCTGCACACTCACTGGGCTGGACGGACAGCCTGGTCCCTGAGCCGAAGGTCAGCTTGCCGTAGCCGGCGCCATAATCACACAGCATTTCCTTCCGTAACAAGAAGCCCAGCAAGCCACTTCAGAAGCAGCACCTCTCCCAAGCCTTTGCCCAGCCATGCCAAAGCTAGGGAAAAACAAATCCTCCATGTCTTTCAGCTGCACCTCTGACTTCTCTTTTTGGTCTTAAGCTGGCTAAAAGTGGGAATGCAACAAGAGGAGACAGCAATAAAGTGGAGAAGCAGGAGGTGAAAACGTACTTGGCAGAACATGTAGCTTCATCCCTGGCCCAAACTGGGGTTTTCCTGCGTTGTTGGTCACAGAGTGCTACACACCCTAACAGGAACCCAAGGCTCAGCCTGCTTTCTCACCCGCTCTGGTCTCCTTTTGCGAGGAGTGGGATGAGCCCCTTGGACAGGAGACGGCATTTGCCTTGGGCACTGCAACACAGAGAGGAGGGAAAGATAAAAACTCAGGTCAGGGATGACTTCCTCAGGCTGCTTGGAGAATACCAGTCACTCACTGGCACTGGGACCTTTTCTGGATAAAGGGCCAAAATGGCTTGGCCTTGGTTTGTTGTGCAAAAGAGAAAAAGCACGCTCTTGTCATCGGTTTTCTAGTTTAGCAACAACATAAGATTTCCCTGAGAGCTCAGTTTACCTTTCCTCTCCTGCGTGCTTGTCCTGTGCTGTTGCTGAAGCACGGCCTTAAGACAAAATTGTCAGGCGAGATTACAACACTCAAGCATTAACCGACTTACTTGGCCGGACAGTGACTTCAGTCCCTGAGCCAAAGGTGAATTTGAGGCTGTTGTCACAACAGCAGGGCCACACGTGGAAGGAGACTACAAAAAGTGGTGGCACTTACTAGGCAAAACCTGAAGTCGTGTCCCTTTGCCAAGTGTGAGCTTGTCGTAGTTCACACAGTGGTTTTCACCTCAACAAGAACAAAAGCTCATCCACATCCTCAGAGAGAAAGGCAATCCCTGCTCTTGGGGAGCCTGAGCCCCTGGCTTTGTTCCTCATAAGCAGAAAACTTTCGGCAGCATCCAGAAATGCTGTATGCTGTAGTAAACCACCACCCACTGGTGCACACTTCTGCCAGACTAGGCCTGATCCTCTTGCTGAGTAAAAGAAAGGTAGGCTGGGAAAGAAGGGCCCAGTAGAGCCAGCTCAGGAAAGGCCCTGGGCGTCCAGGGCTCTGTCAGAGCCAGGAACGAGCCTGCTCCGATCAGATAAAGGTAAGTGC